CCCCTAGTTCTCCCCCACTTCGCCTATGGGGGTGTGTCGAACATTATATATGTTGTGCTTGTTTAGGCTACAGTGGGTTAGCCTATAGGGGGTACACAATTCTAGGGTTAGGTACTTGTACTGATTTCACTGTTAGTTCAATCATTCCTGTTCATTCATTTCAACAAGGTGTGCCACAGGGTTCCGGGGGTGACTTGCAGAGAAGCGTGACCACCACGCAGAGGATGGGGGGAATGCAGACAGTGGGGGGGACAAAGATAATGATGCTTTTCAATATTTTATGGAGGAGGATGAATATTGAAATGCATGTCTATTAAAAAAGTTTCCTAAGTGGCTCTTAATTAGAACAAATACAGCCTTTACCGTCGTGCACAGGATAAAATGAAATGTAGCACTGACTGGTCAGGATAATGTCATTTGTAGCACTGACCCTACAGCAAACCCATCCTTGCACAGTCTTGACCTTTCAGGACAAAATAGGGTTTCGTAAAAACTGCCCTGAGTCCACAGGGTACCCTCAAACGAATCTGAGGCCCTGGTAGGAAGCTGTGAATACTCAAGATCTGATCCCATGCCATCGCCATAACACGATCTGATCCCATGCCATCACCGTAACACGGTCTGACACCATGCTATCGCCATGTTACGCTGTGATCCCATACTAATCCGCCACGCCCATCTGACCTAATTGCACCGCTCCTCTCCCACCTGCTTTCATGCCTGAAAGACGATGGATCAACAATGCTATACGATACCAGACAAGGGAACTGCTTGCGCAGAGAAGCTGGAATGACCGGTTGCCACTCGGAAGACGCATAGTAGATAGACTCCAGGTTTGGAGCATTGACGAACAGGCTGCTGCTGCTGCTGCTGCTGCTCCTCCCTTCTTCCCCACCAAAGCACCTCCAAAACCGAGAGTCATCCGGATCCTCCGGCCTTTCGTTGTAACTAAACCCCCAAGTTCTAAGACGGTTCACACCAATGCTGAGGTGGCGCAGCTGGTTCCACTCCACACGCACGCCCTCCAGAGGCCAGCCGTACCTCAATACAAGTGTCTCCACTGTAGGCGCTATGCTGGTGAGCAGATCGGTCACGGCGAGTTGGGATTCGAGATCGGAACAGGGAAGATCATTCCACCAGTCTCCTTTGGTTGGTTGATTGTTTGGCCCGTTCAAATAGGCGGATTTGGCGGCAGCCAATGGGAGAGAAGAAACGAGAAGCTGCAAGCGGCCAATAAGAGAGAGCGAGTCGAGAGACGGGGGGCTTTTGCATGTGCAATCCACGACAAGACACTCTGCAGCGGCAGAGAAGCTCTTCAAAGAGGCAGGCAGGGCGCAGCGGAGGAGGAGCGCTTTCTCAAAGCAGACTGTGATAGCTCGAGCAGCGGTGAGCTTGAACTCGAGGGTGGTAGAGCCAGAGCCATGGCGGGAGGAGGCGAGAGCGAGTTCATGCAGCTGCGGTGCGACGGATGAAAGAAAGGACATATCATTTCCATCGCACTCGAGGATGCTCGGTTTTCTTAAAGCTCGGAACCTCGCTGGATTCAGCTTGCCTAGTTGCCACGTCCCATGGCCCAGCTTCAGCCGTTGCAGCTACTCAAACCCCTCAAGGACGCCCGGATACATCAGCTGATTCACCTGAATAAAACCAACATCCTCTTGAGGAGTGCATATAATCATCCCGTCCTTCCTCTCAATACGATACTGCGTAACAGTCCCGGGTGGAGGCTCCTTGAGCCCAAGGCCCAGGCTTGTGAGGGAGCGCGCAGAGGGGCCCAAGAGAGGGCCGAGGCAGCGCAGGTCACGGGAGTCGCCGAGAACGAAATTGAGGGGCGCGTGGGGGGCGTGCTTGAGGAAGACAGAGAGCGCTCCCGAGGGACGTGTGGGCGCGGGGTCTAGGCGGTTGAGAGGCCGCGTCATGGGCTCCAAGTCCTGCTCTCACACGGTGTGACAGAGAGATGGAGAGAGATGGAGAGAGAGATAGAGAGATGGAGAGAGATGGAGAGAGAGATGGAGATAAAGAGATGGAGAGAGCGAGATGGAGAGAAAGAGATGGAGAGAGCGAGAGATGGAGAGAGAGAGAGATGGAGAGAGAGAGCGATGAGAGGAGCGACTTTGTGAGTCAAATTAAAGTCTCCTGAGTGTAGCTTGGCAGCGTCAATGGCTCGAAATCATGCTCACACGCATCGATGGATACGAGGATGGTTGAGGAGGCTTAGCCGTGACCGGGACCGCTTCATAGCTCGGCACCCAGAGAAGAATTTTACCATGGATTACGGGCAGCAATGAGAGACTCACGGGCAGCAATGAGAGACTCGCGGGCATAAATGAGATACTCACGCGCAGCAATGAGATACTCACGGGCAGCAATGAAATACTCACGGGCAGCAATGAGATACTCACAGGCAGCAATGAGATACTCACGGGCAGCAATGAGATACTCACGGGCAGCAATGAGATACTCACGGGCAGCAATGAGATACTCACGGGCAGCAATGAGATACTTACGGGCAGCAGTGAGAGACTCACGGGGAGCAATGAGAGACTCACCGGGAGCAATGAGAGACTCACAGGGAGCAATGAGAGACTCACGGGGAGCAATGAGAGGCTCACGGGGAAGGAGGCAACATGGTGGAGGAGCCTCTTGCAGACCATGGCGCAGCGCAGTAGAGGCCAGCAGGAGCCGAAGGTTCTCAATGCGTCGGGGGAGCTACCCCGATTCAGCACTTTATTTTTTAGACGATTCAAATGTCGGACGAAACGCATCCTGCGTCCCTCGTGCGACCCGCCCAGCAGCACGTGGCGGAAGATGATGTGCCAGATGGGGCCGGGCAGCAGATCAACCACGTCCACGGTCTGCTGGGTGGGGAAAAAAAAAAAAAAAAAAAAAAAAGAGGGAGAGAGAGAGAAAAAGAATGAGAGGTCAGTCCTCTCTCGTTCGTCCTGAGAAGGTAGTGGCGTGTAACACCTCGCTACCCACTGGGTCAAAACGAGGGTTGTATTTGAGGCGCAGTGGATGCTCTCATACCCTTACGTGTAAGCCCCACAGGCGTTACACTCGTCCCCCCCTGGAGCCAACGTCCTCATTGGGCAGGGAGTTGGCCCTCGCAAGGACCTGAATCTCGCTCTACAGCGACTTCGCTGGTGGGCCAGGCCAGCGACGGATCGTTCACTGGGTTCGCGACTAGCACAGTCAAATGTGACCCAGCCGGGAATCAAACCCCAGGTTCTGAGACCAAATGTAACACCTTGCTACCCACTGGGTCAAAACGAGGGTTGTATTTGAGGCGCAGCGGATGCTCTCATACCCTTACGTGTAAGCCCCACAGGCGTTACAGGCGTGGTGAGAAGGGAGGGGAATCTGCTGGGAGCCACGGTTGTAGCGCCTCAGGCGGACTGTCTGCGGCATTACTCTCACCTCGTGGTGCTTCTTGGTATCAAAAGGTGCTGTGAGATTGAGAGCGTGATCTCCCCCAAGCACCTCATCTCCATCATGGCCTGCCATCAGCGCCAATGATCGACGTAGGAAACAACGCTGTCGTTCGAAATCGGGAGGTTTTTGGAACCGACAAGTACGGCGCCTACACAAGAAACAAGGTTTCTGTCGAGGGGAACTCTAGTATGCAGTGAAGGCGAGGGTTTGTTACGCTGGCAACATGATTATGGTGGTGTTCCGTTTCCGCATGATAGCTCTTATGCGGCAACGGATGCACAATCTCTGCGCCAGGAAGCTTCCACCGATTCCACGATGTTTCGCCATCGCCGAGCACAGCAATTGCTCTGGTCCCAGTGGCCATTGTCGGACCAGACAGCTGTTGACTTAGCTTTCATTCCCTAGGTTTTTTTCTATTTCCGGTTCAGACCCGATATCCTCTGCTTCTGTCTCCCCGCATGTTGGATCTGGCGGTGCTACAACTGAAATCACGAAACACTTCGAGTGGACCACACGTTATGCGTCGCAAATCCAGTATCTCGCAAATCCGAGTTTCGTCGGATTTTACCGACCTAGGCGAAGGTTTTGCCTCGAGTAACATGCTTGACTCGCTAGTGCTCGTTTCGCTCCATCTGACCTTTTCGCGCAGTAGCTAAAACGTGTGATCCTCCAGAGCGTGTTCGGACAAAGGATGAAACCATGTCGCCGAGACCATGCGAACTTTGCAAACCTCGAGAATGTACACAAAGCTGCCACCGCACAGAACCGTCGATATGGCAACAACTCGAGGAGGGAATGAAGTAGATGAATGGGAGGTGTTCCTCCATTCCCTTGGCAAATCTATGCGACCATAAGCGAATCGATGTAACAAAATCTCAACAGGTGCCAAATTTCGCCACGAGTCTTCCTCACCTTGTCTTCCTCACCTTTTCTTCCTCGCCTTTTCTTCCTCGCCTTTTCTTCCTCACCTTTTCTTCCACAGATCGATTTCCGTCATGCGAGTCTTACGCGCAGATCACGCAGACGAGAGGCGAGAGCGACCCAGTTGAGAGGAAGCACACCTTATCTCGCCACGCCACCGTCACATGCGCTGCCAACTGTGACGAGACGCTCCACCCGTCTCATTCGTCCTGGTCGAATCCGTTGTCCCTCATTTCCTTCCTGCTTCTTCTTCAAACGTTCTCAGCTGGCTCTGCAATGGCTCGCACCGCGAACACCATCGCCCTCCCACCATGCCTCTCAGGACAACTGAAAAGGGATCTTCAATATCAGTTATGGCCAAGAACTTTGGCGAGATGTATTCAGAAAGTCTCCCATGCGCAGCTCGACTCCCACAATTTTGATCATTCAGGAGAGGGTTGGAAAAATCACATTCTTGCGGAACCAGACGCTATTATTGGTAAACATTCGAGACCATTCAAGAACATCATGATTCAAGATTCCAATCGCAGAAGCCTATCGCAGAACTGACGCCTAAACAAACACCGCGGTCCGGAACTGGCTCTTATATCAGTCACACGAACTAAGAGCTTGCTCGCTACAGAGTCACTCGAAAAGATACGGCGATCATGACGAGCCGTCGCCGTGGCATGCGGCAGCACCTGACTTGCCCGTTATGCCTCCTTATCCTTTGCCATGTGGCATCCACGTGTCGAGTGTGTCTTCCGCCTATGTTCTTGGCAGCAGCAAACGGCACCCCTCCGAACCCTAATTGGGAGATCGACTTCGACTGGCTGAGTAACGAGAGCCAAATCGCCATGGCGCGATTCGCCGTGGCACAGCACAACGCCACCAAGGTGAGCATCGCTTCGCCTCGCCTCGCCTCGTCTCGCCTCGCCTCGCCTCGCCTCGCCTCGATTCTCTCCGAGTACTCTCTTACGACAGGTGTTGTACTCTCGCCTCGAGAGTCTTGATCGAGTGTTGCACTCTCTCCCTTCAACTCATGCTGACTCACCACTGTGCAGCAGAACGAGGCCACGACGAGGTAGACGACAGGCGACAGCCCTCCTCTCCTTCATCCCTTCTCCCCTTCATCCCGTCTCCCCTCCATCCCTTCTCTCCTCCATCCCTTCTCCCCTTAGCCCTTCTCCCCTTCATCCCTTCTCCCCTTTATCCCTTCTCCCCTTCATCCCTTCTCCCCTTCATCCCTTCTCCCCTTCATCCCTTCATCCCTTCTCCCCTTCATCCCTTCTCCCCTTTATCCCTTCTCCCTTTCATCCTTTCTCCCCTTCATCCCTTCTCCCCTTCATCCCTTCTCCCCTTCATCCCTTCTCCCCTTCATCCCTTCTCCCCTTCATCCCTGCTCCCCTTCATCCCTTCTCCCCTTCATCCCTTCTCCCCTTCATCCCTGCTCCCCTTCTCCCCGTCTCTCGCCTCTCCACGCCAGAACCACAGCCTACAGCCAGTCGGAGTTCTCTATGTGGACCGCGCAGACATTGCCAGCACAGGCAATGGCAGCGCAGGCAATGGCAGCGCAGGCAATGGCAGCGCAGGCAATGGCAGCGCAGGCAATGGCAACGCAGGCAATGGCAGCGCAGGCAATGGCAGGGCAGGCAACTCAAGCGCGGGCAGGGAGGAGTACCTTGTGACACTGGCGGCTCTCAACCTGCTGCGCGGCCGCACTGCCTTCTTCGACGCCCTCCTCTCCCGCCGCCCTCTCGAGGCCGCGCAATCCGTGCTCCCTGCTGCTGCCCCTCCGCCAGCATCAGCCACAGCAGCAGCAGCAGCAGCAGCAGCAGCAGCAGCAGCAGCAACTGCACCCACCCCTGCGGCAGCGTCCGTTGCAGCAGCAGCAACAGTAGGAGGAGAGGGAGGAGGGGAGGGATGGGAGTACACGTTGAGGTCGTGGGTGCAGCAGGCAGGGTCGGGGCATGTGAGCACGCGGGAGGAGCAGGAGGCGGCGCTCAGGCACGTGGTGCCGGTGACCCCCCCTCCGTGTGGCCACCTGTTGACTTACGTCCAAGGTGCAAAATTATGGTCGTTTTTTTTAGAATCAACCGTCAATTACGGTAACGTGTAATAGGCTCCTATTAGAAATCGTAGAGCAGTTTGAAAAGACGGCCATATTATTGCACCTTGCTTACGTGGACGTGCAGCGCGTGGCACGAGAGGCGGTGGCGAGTGCGAATAAGAGACAGGTGAGTGATGGGATGAGATGGATGGGATGGGATCCCACCTTCACAGGAGCCAGTTTCCACACCATTCTTTTTGGTCGAGGCCCATGCTCAGACTCTGTACCCACTGGTGAGAGGCGTGGTGGCCAGTGAGAATGAGAGGTGGTTGAGCGGTGGGACGAGATCTGTCTTTCACAGGGGTCACTTTACACTTCATTCTCTTTGCTCGAGGCCCATGCTCAGCCCCATGCTCAGCCCCATGCTCAGCCCCATGCTCAGCCCCATGCTCAGCCCCATGCTCAGGCCCATGCTCAGCCCCATGCTCAGCCCCATGCTCAGCCCCATGCTCAGGCCCATGCTCAGGCCCATGCTCTTCCCACCCCCTCCCCCTCGCAGGGCAACCCGCTGCTGCTGATCTCAGTGGTGGAGGCACAGGTGGTGGTGCCGGGATACACTGCTGGCAGCAGATGAGGGCACCGCCTGCAGGCAGCCAGTAGGCAAAGAAGATGTTATAACTTCTCTGCTCCTCCACTCCTTCTCTCTTCCCCCCTCCCCGAACCCGCAGAGCAGCGCTCCGCTGCTGATTTCGGTGCTGGAGGCACAGGTGGTGGTGCGGCGGTACAGAGAGCCCACCCCACCCTCACACTGCTTGTAGCAGATGAGGTCACCGGCATGGCATGGCATGGCATGGCAGCCCACTATGCCGTGCACGCACTGGATTGATGCCGGGGCCGCGGAAGGGCGGCGACGGGGCCGCTGAAAGGGCGGCGACGGGCCGCTGAAAGGGCGGCGTCTGGCCGCTGAAAGGGCGGCGACGGGGCCGCGGAAGGGTGGCGACGGGGCCGCTGAAGGGCGGCGACGGGGCCGCGGAAGGGCGGCGACGGGGCCGCTGAAGGGCGGCGACGGGGCCGCTGAAAGGGCGGCGACGGGGCCGCTGAAAGGGCGGGCGGCGACGGGGCCGCTGAAAGGGCGGCGACGGGGCCGCTGAAAGGGCGGCGACGGGGCCGCGGACGGGCGGCGACGGGGCCGCTGGAGGGCGGCGACGGGGCCGTGGAAGGGCGGCATCGGGGTCGCGGAGGGGCGGCGACGGGGCCGCGGAAGGGCGGCGTTGGGGCCGCGGAAGGGCGGCGACGGGGCCGCTGCAAGGGCGGGCGGCGAGGCCGTGGAAGGGCGGCGACAGGGGCCGCTGAAAGGGCGGCGACGGGGCCGCGAAAAGGGCGGCGACGGGGCCGCTGAAAGGGCGGCGACGGGGCCGCGGAAAGGGGCCGCAAGGGCGGTGCGAAGAGGGCCGCAAGGGCGGCGCGACGGGGCCGTGAGGACGGCGCGACAGGGCCACTAGGGGCCGTGAGGGAGGCCGCTAGAGGCCACGAAGGGGAGTCACATGGGGCGCGACTCGGGCAGGGGCCAAGCGCGCTCCGGGCAGGAAAAAAAAGGTCGGTGGGCCCTAGGAACAGTTCCCACGGGGGAACCTGCTCTATACCATGTGAAGATTAGAACGAGAATGATTGAACTATGAAACAGTTGGGTACAAGTACTAACCCTAATTGGGTTGTACCCCTTATGGGCTATACCCCACTACAGCCTTCACAGATGTATAAGCTATAATGCAGCGTTCGAGGTGCTGCTGCGGCCGAGATGCTCCGCCAAAGCACGGATGAGAGCGTCAACCATGGCGAGCTCTGGGAGCGCTTCTGCAGAATCTTTCGCGGCAAATGCCTCCCTGTAAAGAAAAAGCCACGGACACGGCGTCAGGCAGTCAGTTGGTAAAACAGCGGCAGATGTTGGATCTGGGATGCATAGGCACCCACCTGTGGGCGATGCAGTGGCACGAGACCACATGAGAGATGCAGAGTCGAAGTCGCCCGGTCAGTCCGTTGGTTCCGTCGAGCATGACTGGAGCGCCATCGGTGCTAATCCCGGCGATCTTAGCAAGGGTGAGGTTGATGCTGTCGAGGTAACCGACGAGCACTACATACAGGGATCTTGCATCACATTTGTCAACTGTCAATAGTGTGAGAAACTCAGTGGTAACCTCATTTTCACGCAAAGAAAGTGATGAAGACGATCATATGCTTCCCCCGCACGCGGTCAGTACTCTCATCACAGCTCAAGCTAATGAATGGGCTCGAGTCTATGAACTCCCGCTGCTTCGCACGAAGATAGCTCGCTGTCGCGGAAACTAGTTCCGCGAAACCGTACCTGCGAACACACGGTTAGGGAACATAGTGTTAGTATATAGTAGATCATGTGTTACGTGAAAGATATGAACAGCATATTACTTACGTTGTGTAATACGCGCCGTAGCCATTCTTCGGGAAGCCCGGAGTCCCACGGGAAGCAAGGTGCCGGACGAGTTGCACCCACATCTCTATGGGTGCGTCGGTCTTGGTGATGAACAGCATGGTGTCCAGCAGCGACTCCACAGCGTCGTGCTCCACGTCACGGGCTGTCGGGCAGTCTAGGATGCGATGCTGTCCGGCAGCTTTGGCCAAAGCCAGCTCCTGATTGCGGATGGCTTCTCTGTGCTTCGTGGTCCTTTGATGACGTTGCATGGCCTGAGTCTGCACATCCAGGGCCCCCTCGCCTTTCCCGAAGTTGGTTCCTGTTCCTCCATAATCCATACACACTGTACATTTCATGGAGGGGAAACCAAATTTAGTTTGACAAATAATATGCCAAGGGAAGTCCTCGTTCCACCGTCGTTTAAACATGAGCAAAGCTTCTTGATACTTCTCCTCGGCAATGTTGGGAATCTCGGTGTCAGAAGAAGCAGTGGCGGCGGTTTCAACAAGGACAGTAGGTTCGGTGGTCGGTTCATGATGTTGCCTGGTGATAGAAATGACAGCGGTGGTGTCAGATGTACGGACAAACGAGAGCTTTGTCTCTTGATACCGCTGCGTGGAGAGTTTTTGGCTCGGTGGTCCTTTGCGGGTCGTCCCAGCCGCCTTAGAGCACTCCCCTTGCGTGCGAATCGGCGGTGGCACGGGGACGTTGTCAACCACGACCGGTGCAGCTGTCACGGGAGAAGGCACGGGTGGCTGGGACGGCGACAGGAGGGGATCAGCTACGGCAGCGGCAGCGGAATCAACTAGTGTTGGTTTCGGCGGTGGTGGAGGCTGAACAGGCCTACTACCCAATAAATCCAGGCCCGTCAACCCTACGGTCGGGCAGGGCGGGCTAGGTATGGCGGGGGCTTCACCATCGCCCGCCGGCGATGGGTCAGCCATGGACGGTAATTTGTGGCAAAAATAACGAGACATACGGCGTCAAGCAGCTAGGCAAGTTACGGGGAAAAACAGAGATTGTTGGCGTTCTGGCTGGGGTTTGGTTGAGAGACGAGAACAGGCTGGAGGGGATGGAGGAAGAGACAGAACAGAACATCACAATCTTCCCAACCCCAGACACATGGCGCGTCGACCACAGGAGTCGCGGCCTATGCGCTGGCACAAGCATCTTGCAAAGTTGGATAAAGGACAAGTTTCATGGCTAGGTGGGAAGCACGTGCCACCAGCATCTTGCATTGTTGGCCGTGTTTTTCAAGCGTGTTAAGTCAGCGGCGCACTGTGATTGGAAGATGTTACAGCATTACTGTGGTTCCAGGCTGGGCGCGGTGTGGTGTTGCGCCACCCAGGCAAAAATAAACAATGCGACAGTCACGGAGCGTAATTTACGCTGTAACAGGTCGGTGGTTGGGTACACAAAGCCCGGGGAAAATGCAGTATTCGCGTCGGGACGAGTCTCGACACTAGCCTGACTCATCAGCGCTGTACCTACAGCGCTATCCTGAGGGCCCAGTATGAAAAATTACCATTATACTGATATCACAGGACAGACATTTGCATTATGCTGTTTTTACAGGAGAGGCACTAAACACCTATCCTGAATTCAGGAGAATCAGGATAAATTATCCTGATAATGTAGGCCCTGCTTCCTACATCCAGCAAGGCGCAGAGAGTTCACCCATTAATCCCTCTGTAAAAAGGAGATACGCACACGTGTAACCACAACAATGAGACTCTAACTCCAGATTGGGGGGGTCGTGTGTGTACGTTAAGTGAAGCATTGACTTTGCCAACGGTGACAGTGTTACAGCGACACAAACGGCACCCACCCATGATACCATCGCAACAGGAGAGCCAGCGCGAGGCCCAAGGGAGAGAAGCACACGAAGCAATGTTACAACTCCCATGCAGTCAGCAAGGAGGATGTGAGTGGGGGGTGGGGGAGCACAGTCAATGGACACAGAGCCCTTCGCCCCTCCACTCGCCTCACCACCTCCCGCATCCAGGAGAAAAGAAGTCAACCAGGCGGTGACCTGTGAAGGGCACCGGCTGCCACACCACCACCTTCACCACCACCACTTGCTCCCTTGGCCCTCCCTCGTCTACTGCCCCCTCGCCTGCTGCCTTGGCTTTGATTCCAGGCGCAGTCAGCAGTGCTGCAGGTGCCGTTGCTGCAGGCGGTACATCCGCCGCTGCTGCTGTTACAGTCACGCTGTTGTCGATCCCTGCCCCCTCCACCACATTCGCCCTCGCTGCAAGCACATCCAGCAGAGTCACATTGGAGGAGGAGAGGCTGCTGTGGTTGCAGAGGCATAAGGGGAGGCGTTAGAGGAGGCAGTGGGATGAGGCAGTGGGCATTAGGATGAGCACCCACCCCTCATTCACACACACCCAGCACTGCTGCTGCTCCCGTTCCTCCCGGCACACCCCCCTGCTGCCGCCGCGCCCATCTCCCCCGCTGTTGCATTCCGCTGCGTCCCCGCACCACCGCAAACGCCGTCACATTCACCGAACTCCTCCCGCTCGCGTTCCCCCCTTGTGAAGTATCAGGCGTGGCGCCGCTGCTGTTATCCAGTGCGTGCGTGGCATAATGAGCCGCCATGCCGGTGCCCTCATCTGCTGCCAGTAGTGTGAAATTGTACTCTCTGTATCTGTATGACGGCACCAACACCTGTGCCTCCACCACCGAAATCAGCAGGAGCGCGCTTCCCTGTGTGTGGAGGGGAGGGAAGGAGGGGAGGGAAGGAGAGTGGTTGAGTCTTGGGATAGGCCTTGGGATAGGCCTTGGGATAGGCCTTGGGATGGTTACTCTCTATATGCCGGCACGACCACCTGTGCGTCCACCACCGACATCAGCAGCAGTGCGCTGCCTTGCAGGGGGGAAAGGGTTGGAGAGAGGGCGAGGAAGGAAGCAGACAGTGTTACTGGGTCTGAGCATGGGTCTGAGCATGGTGGGTCCGAGCATGGGTCCGAGCATGGGTCTGAGCATGGATTTGAGCATGGATTTGAGCATGGATTTGAGCATGGATTTGAGCATGGATTTGAGCATCATGGGACCGAGCATGGGACTGAGCATGGGACTGAGCATGGGACTAAGCATGGGTCTTATCATGGATCTGAGTGAAGAGAATAAAGTGCAAACTGGTGAAGGACAGAGTTGATCCCGTCCCAGATTGACTGGGACTAATAGCAACGCAACTCACCTGTCTCTTATTCACCCTCGCCACCGCCTCTCATGCCACGCGCGCACGTCAGCATCTGAGGAGTCAACGTAAGTCAACAGGTGGCCACACGGAGGGGGGTTCACCGGCACCACGTGCCTGAGCGCCGCCTCCTGCTCCTCCCGCGTGCTCGCATGCCCCCACCCTGCCTGCTGCTCCCACGACCTCAACGTGTACTCCCATCCCTCCGCTCCTGCAGCTGCGGCTGATCCTCCCTCTCCTCCTCCCCCTGCTGCTGCTGCAACAGACGCTGTCGCTAGGTGGGTGCAGTTGCTGCTGCTGCTGGTGGAGGGGCAGCAGCAGGGAGCGCGGATTGTGCGGCCACGAGAGGGCGGCGGGAGAGGAGGGCGTCGAATACGGCAGTGCGGCCACGCAGCAGGTTGAGAGCCGCCAGTGTCACAAGGTACTCCTCCCCGCCCGCGCTTGAGTTGCCTGCGCTGCCATTGCCTGTGCTGGCAATGTCTGCGCGCTCCACATAGAGAACTCCGACTGGCTGTAGGCTGTCGTTCTGACGTAGAGAGGCGAGAGACGGGGAGGATAAGGGGAGACGGAGAGAAGGGAAGAAGGAGGGGAAGAAGGGAAGAAGGGAAGAAGGGAAGAAGGGAAGAAGGGAAGAAGGGGAGAAGAGAAGGGGAGTAGGGGAGAAGGGGAAAATAGAAGGAGAGAAGGGGAGAAGGGGGAAGGGGAGACGGGGAGAAGAAAAGGGGAAGCGTTGAAGAATGAAGGGAAGGGAGTGACTGTGCTACAGTGGGAATGCGGGAGAGAGAATACGCGGCAGTGGGGACGAGAAGCAAAGCAGCAAAGTTCTCTTGAAACGTGGAGTGTCGCCCGTCGCCCGTCGCCCGTCATCCGTCGCCTGTCGCCCGTCGCCCGTCATCCGTCGCCTGTCGCCCGTCGCCCGTCATCCGGCACCTACCTCGTCATGGCCTCGTTCTGCTGCGCCGTGGTGAGTTAGCATGAGCTTGAAGAGAAAAGAGTACAACACTGGATCGGGACTCTCGAGGCGAGAGTACGACACTTGTTCCAAGAGAGTTCTCTGGCACTCGGAGTGAATCAAGGCGAGGCGAGGCGAAGCGAGGCAAGGCGAGGCGAGGCGAGGCGAAGGCTCACCTTGGCGGCGTTGTGCTGCGCCACGGCGAATCGCGTCATGGCGATTTGGTTCTCGTTACTCAGCCAGTCGAAGTCGATCTCCCAAAAAGGGTTCGGAGGGGAGCCGTTTGCTGCTGCCGAGAACATAGGCGGAAGACACGCACGACACGTGGATGCCGCGGGGCAGAGGATAAGGAGGCATGATGGCGGGAAAGTCAGGTGCTGTCGCATGTCACGGCGACGGCTCGTCATGATCGCCGTATCTTTTCAAGTGACTCTGTAGCGATCAAGCTCTCAGTTCGCGTGACTGATAGGCGTCAGTTCCGGACCGCGGTGTTTGTTTTACTCCGTCAGGCTGCGATTGGCGTCTCGAATGGTCTTGCATGGTAACGGTTACCACTAGGGTCTGGTCCCGAGAAGCGGGGAGATGAAGCGGCAAGGAGATGAGGGAGAACGGATTTGACGAGAACGAACGAGACGGGAGGAGCAGGGCATCACAGTTGAGGGCGCTCGTGACAGTGGCGTGGCACACCAGGTGTGCTTCCTTCCTCTCAACTGGGTCGCCCTCGTCTCGTCTGCGTGATCGGCGCGTACGACTTGCGCAACCGCGAACGAACTCTGTAGGAAAAAGTTAGGAACTGACTCATTGACGAGGTTCGGCACTCGCCGAGTGCGCGTTACATATTTTCGCTACGGGAAGTAACTCCCTGGTTAATTTCGGAGTTTCACGCGTTCCTCGGGCTTGATTTCTTGGGATCACCTCCTTCGTCCCTCTTCGAGTAACTGTTGTTCGCCTCATTGACTGCTCTATGCGATTCTGGCTTTGAGTACAGTCCTCGAGGTTTGGGTTCATTTGACCTTCATCGCAAAGTTCGCATCGTCTCGGCGACTTGGCTGAACACGCTCGGGTGTCTCACAAGTTTCAGCCACATATGGAGCGAAACGAGCACTAGCGACTCAAAAGTACGTTACTCGATCCAAACAGTACGCCTGGCTCTGTTACATCTCACGAAATTCGGAATCGCGAGAGATTGGCTTCGATCGAAACAAACTCCAAGGCTGAATTTGTGACTCACGTCACGTGTGGTTCACCCGAAGTGGTTTGTGAGCTGAGCACCCAGACAGACGAAGGAGCGGGAAACAGAAAACACAATTGTAAAACAGAGTAGCTCTGATGACTCGAAGGCTGGAAAAGCTCAATAGAGCTGCTGGACTTCCACTATGCTCAATAGAGAAAACTTACACTATGCTCAAGATTATACAAGCCCACTAAGGCACAACTTCTTAAGCACTACAATCATGCAGATTGATAGCTCAAACTAGGCTGCTAGACAAGGCAACTTCCTGGAGAACTTAGGCACAATTCAGATTCCATGAACCTTGAGAGTGACTTGAGAGCCACATGAGGTGCATGAATAAGAAAGCTCTGGAATTCTCTGTCATAGCTGATTTTGTTTGGTAGAAACCTGTAGAAACTGTTTTTCTTAAAAACAATTCCGAACTGTATCGAGAATTCGGCTCCAATCTGATTGGTTGAGAAACTTTCTGATTTGTTTGCGAAGCCTTCAATCCGTCGCCGACATTCCCCCCTTGCTGCTCCTTGTGTGCAAAGGGCTGGGGCGGCAGAAACTTGATTCTCCAACACTCCCCCTCGCACCAGACCCGAAGCACACATACGCCCATTCTTATTCTCCTCTTACATCTCTTTGGCATACACTCCATGCTTCTGCCCATATTGCTTCTCCTCATACCCCTCATTCTCCTCAAACTGTTGCACTGCTTCATGAAGTGTCATGAGACCTGCTCTTGCCTTGCACATGTTGAATGCATCATGTGGAAGAACCTTAGTCATGAAATCTGCTGCTTGGTCGAATGAACGGCAAAAGTTGACGGCTCTAGTTGCTCACGGATGAAATGGTACTGCACCTCGATGTGTTTTGTACGCCCATGATGAACCGGGTTCTTGGAAAGAGCGATGGCTGAAGTGTTGTCCACGTAGAGCGGAGTCGGTTGAGTTTGCGGCTGCCTCAAGTCCTCCAAGAGTCCACGTAACCAGATTGCCTCCCTTGCTCCTTCGGTCATTGCCATGTACTCGGCTTCGGTTGTAGAAAGCGCCACACAACTTTGCTTGCGTGATTGCCAAGAAACAGCGGCACCGCACATGAGGAAGATGTAGCCGCCGGTGGACTTGCGTGTGCTCAATTCTCCCGCCCAATCTGCATCGGTGAAGCCTTGGAGGGAGCTTGCATGTGGGCTGGCTTGGAAGAGAAGACCAAGATTAGAAGTACCTTTGAGATACCGAAGAGCTCGCTTGGCTGCATGCATATGGGTAGGTGATGGGGCACTCATGTGTTGAGCTAGCTTGGATACCGTGAATGCTAGGTCGGACCTTGTGCATAGGGCTGCATACATGAGACACCCAACCTGACTTTGGTAGAGAGCTAGGTCTTGTGGGGATACCTTGGGTGAATTTTCACCATGATGCTCACTCTCCTCAAGACACAACTCCTCAATACCCGTGATGTCAAGGCTTGACTCCGTCTCTTCATAGGGCTGATCTGATGACAGAGGGACAAAGTTGGAAGGAAGCGGGGTAGGTGATGGCTTGCTATCATCAAGACCAAACCTCTCAAGGACCTTTTGGATGTACCTTTGCTGGAATAGAAAGATGGACCGTGACTTATGATCTCTCACAATGTTCATACCAAGATAATGACTCGGCTCACCAAGATCGGTCATCGTGAATGCACTCATGAGAATACCTTTCACCTTGTTGAGGAGATCAAGAGAACCTGAGACTAGGAGGAGGTCATCAACATATACCAACAGCCAAATGTACTCCCCCTTACTCGTGTGCATGAAGTACAACGCGTTGTCTCTCATGGACCTTGTGAAACCGTGCTTGAAGAGTACCGTCTCAAGAGCATGATACCATGCCCGTGGGGACTGTTTGAGACCATAAAGTGACTTTACCAAGCGACAAACTCGACCCGTACCATCATCATAACCTTCGGGTTGTGCCATGTATACCTCTTCGTCCAAGACACCGTAGAGAAATGCGTTCTTGACATCCATTTGATGGATATGGAGACCAAGATATGCGGCTATGGCGAGGAGGACTCGTACCGTGGTGTACTTCGCTACCGCGGCAATGGTTTCGGTGAAGTCAAGACCTGGAATTTGGGAATAACCTTTTGCCACTAACCTTGCCTTGTACCTATCAAGTGTATCATCACCTTTTACCTTAATCTTGTACACCCATTTGACACCAATTACCTTCTTCTCTGGAGGTGGCTCAACAAGACGCAATGTACCTCTCTTCATGAGACTCTCAATCTCTTCTTCCTCGACCTTCAACCAATGCTCTCTCTCGGGACTTGCCACTGCCTCACGACGACTCAATGGCTCTCGTGGAAGGTGTGACGCTGCCATGCATATTGCCTCTACCTTCTTGTGAATGCAATTCTCACTCTCCTCACACGTGCACCTTGATGACATGTCAACCATGAACGTGAAGGGATTTTTCACCTTGCGGACTCGTTTACCTTTACCCAACTCCTCACTTGACTGAGACACATCAGTAGTAGGGTTCGGTCTCACAGTGCTTGGATGCGTTGACACTGTCAGTTGCGGCTGAGACAACGGCTGCGACGTCCGCTGCGACAGCGGCACGGCTGCATGATCTTCTCCCGGCGTGGAACTCTCTCTATTATCGGTGTTGACTTGAGGAATAGGAGCGGTGAAGCTGAAACGTTCGTGGGCATAGTTGGTTGTGAAGGTGCTCTTGGTGGGGATCTTGAGACTAGAAGCTTGGGGATTAATGATGACGCTGCGTTGTCAAGAGGTGATGATGAATGGGGCTGATTGGTGTTGTTTCTCGGTGTTGAAGATGGCGGTAACTGATGACGGCCAATTCCGGGACGTGGGGGTGAAGTTGAGAAAGGTCTTGGGTGAAGAAGTGGGCTGTTGGAGCTGGTGTTGGTGGTGACTCGCTAAAGTGATCCTCGTGCTATGAGCTGGCTTGACGTTGGAACCTGAAGTGATGAACGTGTGTGAGAACGAGATGTTGCGGTGATGGTTGTCTTGTTGGTAGGAAGAATTGTAGATGGTGTGGATGTAGGTACTTGGGGTGTTGTGGCTATTGATTGCTGCTGCATTGGATGATGATGAGTGTCGGTAGTTGCCTCTGGAGTGGCGGCTGATGATGGGTTTGGTGGCGTAGTGGTGGGCTGATCCAATGGACGTTGAACTTGCGGAGTAGGTGTTGAAGTAGCTAGCTGGTTTGTGACGGATGGCTGCTGCTCCTTTGTGGTGATGGAACGGTGACTTCCTGAGGTGGATGGTCTTCATTTGATGGCTGAACTTCATCTCCACTTGGTTGTGTAGCTGCTGGTGGCGCTGATGTGGCACGGCTGGTCTCGTTGACGACGGCTTGAGGGAGATCGATGATGGGTCCGCTATGGTCAGAATCTGTGTCATCTTCTTCCTCCTCTTGTGTTGTTTCCTCAGGTGCGCTTGCTGGTTCCTATTGGATAGAGGGTAGAGAGGAGGAAGAGGAAAACTTATGCCAACCTGCAAGGGACATGTCTTCATAGAAGACAACATCCCTTGAAACCACTTCTCGCTTGGTGACAGGATCCCAAATGACCCATCCCTTGCTCTCGTTGCTCATGCCGATGAAGAGGCCCCAATGAGCTTTGCTGTCCAGCTTGAGTCTCTTTGCATCTGGAACACGGTATTGGGCCATGGAACCAAAAACACGAAGCATAGAAAGATCTGGTTTAACTCCAAACCAAGCCTCATATGGCGTTACACCATCCGGTAGGGGCCTTGTGGGTCTCCTGTTGCGAACATAAATTGCCATAGTGATTGCCTCACCCCACCAGAGCTTGTCAAGGCCCTTAAACTGAAGAAAAGTGGTAGCTATAGCTTGAATAGTGCGATGAAACCTCTCTGCCACTCCGTTTTGCTGAGGACTATAGGGACAAGTGAACTGTTGTTTGATGCCCAATGCCAACAACTCCCCCTGAAATGCTTTCCCCATGTACTCACCTCCTCGGTCCGACCTCAAGGTGAGTAACTTCTTCCCTGACTCTCTCTCAACAAGTGCTAGCCATTGCTTGAAACACTTGTGCACTTCATCCTTGGTGTTGATGAAAAAGGACCACGAGAAACGACTCTTGTCATCAATGAAAGACACCAAATATTTCTTACCGTTTCGAGTAAGGTCTCGCATGGGGCCAAATACATCC